GCAAAAAACTGACAGGTTCAGAGCACTTTTGGAAGTTGAGATGTCGAAAAAGTGCATGCATGTGCATGCCGTTGTGGCGCGAAGCACATTTCGAAGTCAACATTTTAAAAGCACCACATGTTCGGACCACTTTTTGATGTTCAGATGTCGTTTCGCGTGGCAGGCACAAGGGATTGTGCACCTTGTCAAAAGTAAGCAAAACGTGGGGGTTTTGTAGCATTTCCAAAAACGATGGCAGGCGTGGGACATTTGAAGAGGAACATGTTCATCAGAGCTGTTGGGAGGTGAGGGGCTGATTTCCTGAGAAGGGTTGCATTTTGGAGCATCAGATCAGTAGGTTTGCTGAGATGATTTTGCGTGACAGGTGCAGCACTTCGGATGACCTGGCCTTAATTTTTTCGTGGCAGGCGCATTACTTTAGACAGGTGGAGTGGAAAAATCGCAAAACGCATTGGCACGAGGCCGTCAGCTCTGCACTCAACTTTCCATTTTTGCAGGAAGTCTCGCAGATTGCTTCGTTTTTGACGTCGTCAACTGTGACTTCGAAGCTGCTACGAGCAGCCGGATCTGTTTTCCACAACAGGAAGGGTCATCGGCCGGGGCTAGCTATTTGAGCGCCGAATTGGTGTACGCACGGCCCCACTTTGCCCTCTCGAGCAAAGAAACCCTGCGCCACATCTGTGTCTACCAGAATGGATGGTAAGCAATCATCGCACCAAAGTAGAGTCATTCGCTTCCATCTTCTTTGATAATTAATTGATGATAGCAGCCTGGAGAGAGCATGAATTAAAAGGCAAAACCCTAGCTCCAGCAAATCTTTCACAGGAATTGGGTAAGATGTAGGGAATCAAACACCCACCCAAAACAAAGCAAACATTCCGGGCGGCACCAGAAATATCTGTGCCTGTGAGGAAATGAAGCAGCCGCGTGGTGGCTGGGTAGTCCCAGCTTAAGGTTTTGATCGCCCATGCGACATCCCAGACTGCCAAACCATATGAATTTTTACCGAATGCCCCCAGTGAACCCAAAGCAAAACCAAACAAAAAGCAACAAAAACACAAACAGAAACCAACCACAAGAAAGTGAGGAGGCACCCGGTACCAGCTATCTATTCCGCAAGTCTCTACACTGGCAAGCGGCCTTCATGGCTGAGCGAATTCTTCCAGCGATGCTTTCAATCCAGCCAGGATCTTGGGCACAATGGTGGCTGTAGACCTAGGGAGATTCCCTCTTCGGTGAACGTGACGAAACAACACTTTCAGCCTTTCCATGTCTTCCTTGGCAAGGCGGCTTTCAAACTCGGACCACTGATTGCACTCTTTCACACCTTCATAGGACCCAAGCGCGTGGAAAATGGCCATCTTTTCTGCTGGCGTCAATGGCTGGTCCTTCACTTGGTTCTGACCTTGGTCCTGGTTCTTTGGAGGCCCGGGCTTGTGGTCAGGTTGTGCTCTGGCTCCTGGAAACTTGCTGAGCTGTGCCAGCAGGTCTTGCTGTACGGCGGCCACTTTGCTTTCCATTTCTTGCATCAGTTTGTCCTTTTCAGCTGTAGCTTCCCTGGCTGCCTTCTCTGCCTGGAGCATCTGCAGTTCCTTTTCGAGTCGGTTTTCGCGGTCAGACTTCCCGCGCCGGGGTTTCTTTTCTTTCTTCTTGCTGTGTCTGCGCCGTGAATGGGATGATGAGGAATCTGAAGATGACCAAGAATATTCCCTCTTGCGCCCATATGAGCTATTTTGGTGCCTGCGGCTGTGTTCCCTTTGCCTCTCCTGCTTCTGGGAGCTCTCACCTCTGTCGACCTCAATGCGAATCACTTGGGCTGGCTGGGTGTTGTGGGATGGCCTCCACTGGGACGCTGACCAGCCCCAGCTTCTTCCCTTCTGTTGGCCCCAGCCCATCGATTCTGCACTGGACATTGCGGAAAGAAACACTAAGAGCAGCCGGAGGCCAGCCATGGCAGACACGCTGACTACACTAGGTCGGCAAGCTAGACGGCAGCACGGACCTACTTTGTTCTGGGCTTAAAGGACCTCGTGACAAAGGCTTTTGAAAGCAGGTGAACATACAAACGCTCTGCAAAACCGGAGCTCTTCTGCAAAACTATCCTTCCACATACCAAAGATTATGCGTCTTAAACGTTGGCGGCCAAAATGTTGCCTAGCAAGGGCTACCAAGAAAAGGCCAAGGTCATGCTCTTTCTCCCTGGTTTTTAAACCTATTTGCCTGTGCCGGGCCAGTCGGCCCCACAAAAACGCACGAATACTGCTTTGCCGAACATCCCATGGGGGTGGGAAATCGAACAAGCTTTGTTTGATATCAAGTACAAGGCAGTCAAGGTCAAGAACAACATCAAGCCAATGCAACTTGCGGGATTGTGGGGCTGCATCAAATTTGACAGTGTACATGGCATGCGTCATGTCAACCAAACAACTGAAACAAAGCAGTTTGGAAATCATGACAACATCATCAATGTAGCGCCGGGCAACGACGGCTTGGTGCCAACAGGGAGCAGAACAAGACAGTCCAAAGTTGAGGGGCCACTGCTGGACCCACATGTGCTCTTCCCATGCTAAGACTGCACTGGCAGCAATTCTGGAAAGTAAACCTCCTATTGGCAACCCGCTCATGCGGATGATGGTGCTCCCAAGGCTGCAAAAAGGGATGTACATGCAAGCCGCAAAGCAAAACAATAGATCACGGAAAAGGAAACAAACCAGTTTAGGAGAAGTAATGGCTGGATTACCTCCTAGGTACCCTTGAACTTTCTTTCGGCGGAGGATAGTCACTGAAGTGGTCTGAGACTTGCGCGCAACATCATGGAATATGTTAGCCATGCAATCAACTGCTGTTGAAGGCTGCACAACTTCAAAGAACTGGCCCGCGTCTGCAACGACACCGTTGAGCAAAGGCTTAACACACCCACATTTGCAGCACTGCAAGCCAAAGTCAATGTACTCAAGGTTACGGCAATCTTCTAACAAGCCTGAGGTGGCATGCTTCAAGCTTGAAACTTCGAAACCATGACCCCATTTCCTGAGAATGACATCACATGCACGACTAACTAGTCTCCATCGTTGCCGAAACGGCCACTCGCAATACGCCACAATTTTGCGACAACAGCTATGCCCTATTCTGGTACACAATCGTGCCCCAGTGCTGTAGCATTTACTTTTGATTGTGACGTACATGTATGGCACCCAAGCACATGGCAAGCCAACACCAAGCCAATCATGCAGACAATAGGGGACCAAAGTGCGAAGTACAAGTTGGATAAGCAAGGTTGCATCATGTGGCATCAAGCTGGACAAAGTCCAGGTTGCAGAGCACACGGTGTAACACAGCAAAAGTGCATGGTAACATGTCAAGTCAACTTTCCACATGCGTGCCTTGTCTTTGTCATCAGGGACGCGAACTATGGTTGTCCCGGACAACAACTCACCCGCAAAACTATCATATTGTGCTTTGGTAAGTATATCCCGCGCCAAGGAGGACTGAACGGCAACATGACTGGAGACACAAGAAGTGAGACCTGCCTGGGACGCTAGATGGCACCCTTTTGGCAAACGCGCTTGCTGGCACCATGTCTGGACAGCAAGGTCAACAACTTTGGTTTTCTCTTCTAGGGAAAGTCGCTTTTTGGCTTTCATGTTTCTGTCAACTTTCTGCATACCATTTCCTTGGATGGCATGCGACAGTGATGCAGAATCCAACGACAAGGCACTTTGCAAACAAAAACTTCTGGCAGCCCGGCCGTGTGACAACAAATCCTTGAAGGTAGGACATTTCCCAACAAGAACTCGTGTCTTTTTCAAGACCCATGTCACCACATGCGGCGGCCATCTTGGCGATGACCGGGCTAAGGTAGCGACCAACGATTTGCAAGGACCGACAAGACAGGGTTCCGGCACAGTCACAACAAGCAATTTCTTGGAGGGAAGACCTTCAAACTTCATGCATTGCGAAGCACGGCGCAGGACCTGTCTGCGTCTGCCAGCTGTTTGCACAAGTCCCCCAAGTTTTTCAAGCTCAACACCAAGGAAATCACACTTCCATGCCGCACGCAAGCGATTCCAAGCAACACATGAGCCGCGTGTCCCTATCCACAGAACCATGAGACGGCGAACCTGAGGGGAATAAATGTTCACAGGACCACAGAAGCCACTGGAGAGGAACAATTGCCGCTGCAACTTCCGGTACGCCACTGAAAAGCTCTGCGACCAAGCTCCAACAAGCAATGGGTCAGGATTTGGGGGCCGCACTGCGAGGTTCCTAAGTTTGAGTTCCTTACAAAGTTCCCGATCTAAACGCATTGCACCAACATGGCAGGACCAGGTCGGATCAAGACATGGCAATTTTTTTGGCCGGCGTCGCCACTGTGGCGGTCTCATCCGGCGTTTCTTTGTTTGCCGTGCTGGAAAATTTGCAGGTCTGCGCGAGAAATTACCATTGGGCCGATACGCCTTAATGGCAAGAGACTCACGTGCCCGGATTTCGCATTCTGGCCCAGATCGGACCGGCAACCACATCATGGACACAAGTGGGATACGTCGTGCAAGACGGTACCTGTGGATGCACCCGTGTGTACACTGGGCTCTAGCTCTTAAAGTCAGGTGCTCAAACAAGCGACAGACCATGCCAGAAACTTGCGGACGGGACATGCGTGAAAACCTAGCAATGCCAAGGTATTGAAACCCACGACCAAACCAAGCATACATGCCAAAAGCATCGGGCGTACTCCCCTGAGTCACACAGTTTGTGGCCCAGGCAACGAGCTTCTGCACGTGCTTCAAATGCCCAAACAAAATGGCCGCCTGGTATTCAAGATCAAGCAAAGCAAGGACTTTTCTTGCAACAGCACAATGGGACGAAATCTGCAGCCACACCAAGGATTTTACAATGAACAAAGTGGCAACTAGTTCTTCCAAAACACGGTCTTGTCTCCGCCATTTATGATCAGGGGGAATCAAAAAGGTGAGTGCAGCAACTAAAGACCGATTGCAAAGGAGAATGAAATTGCCATGTCCCTGTTTCTTTGTCAAAACACAACCTGCATCAAGCCAAATCTTCTTTTTTAAGATCTCCCACGTTTCATGGTACACACATGGTGGCTGATTGATATGGAAGGGCAGCCCGAGGAACTGCGAGAAAACTTCATTAAGCGGATCAGCCCACACAGCACTCAGAAGCAGAACAAGCCCAAATTTGGAAACCAAATTGTACCAGTCTCCTCCGTACCGTGTGGTGAACAAGTACGCTAGCTCACTTGTTTGAAAAGGCATCAAGCAGATCCAAACGAAGCAACCTAGCCTTGAAGCGTTACACTGGCAACCGTTGTGATCGGCAAATTGCGTCAAACCGGAAATGCCAGGGCTGTCTCAACTGTGACTTCGAAGCTGCTACGAGCAGCCGGATCTGTTTTCCACAACAGGAAGGGTCATCGGCCGGGGCTAGCTATTTGAGCGCCGAATTGGTGTACGCACGGCCCCACTTTGCCCTCTCGAGCAAAGAAACCCTGCGCCACATCTGTGTCTACCAGAATGGATGGTAAGCAATCATCGCACCAAAGTAGAGTCATTCGCTTCCATCTTCTTTGATAATTAATTGATGATAGCAGCCTGGAGAGAGCATGAATTAAAAGGCAAAACCCTAGCTCCAGCAAATCTTTCACAGGAATTGGGTAAGATGTAGGGAATCAAACATTATGAGGAAGTCTCGCAGAATTGTTTCGATATTGATGTTGTCAAGTTCAAAAACTGAGGAGGTCTCGCAGAATTGTTTCGTTTTGGATGTTGTCAAGTTCAAAAATTGAGGAAATGTCGCAAAATAGCTTCGTTTTCAAGCTTGCAGATAGACAAACAGATAGACAGACAGACAGACAGACAGATAGACAGACAGATAGACAGATAGACAGATAGACAGATAGACAGGTAGACAGATAGACAGATAGATAGATAGCTAGATAGCTAGATAGCTAGATACAACTACAATTACAACTGCAACTACCGCTACATGACATTCAGATGCACTAATTACACTACATTACAGCTACAGCTCCACTACACTACACTACAACTACAGCTACAACTGCAGCTACAACCACTACACCACACTACATCCAGCAGTTGTGGTAAGGTGACTGCTGCAACCATTGCAACCATTCAAAAAAACACAACTTCAATCACCTGTCGGTGCATCAGTGGATTCGCTCTGCCATCCGTGATTCACAACAACCAACCTCTCCTATAGGGCCTATAGGTTTACTATTTTTGAAACTTCCGCCACTGCCTTGTGCGGTACTACTGGTACTTGTAGTTGTAGTAGTAGACTGTAGTGGTACTTGTAGTTGTAGTTGCAGTTGTAGCTGTCCATCTATCTATCTGCCTACCTGCAAGCTTGAAAACGCAGCTATTTTGCGAGACTTTCTCAATTTTTGAACTTGACAACGTCAAAAACGTTGACAGCGTCAAAAACGAAACAATTCTGCGAGACTTTCTCAGTTTTTGAACCTGACAACATCAAAAACGAAACAATTCTGCGAGACTGCCTAATTTTTTGAAGTTGACAACATCAAAAACGAAGCAATTCTGCGAGACTTCCTGCAAAATGGAAAGTTGAGTGCAGAGCTGACGGCCTCGTACGAATGCGTTTTGCGATTTTTCCACTCCACCTGTCTAAAGTAATGCGCCTGCCACGAAAAAATTAAGGCCAGGTCATCCGAAGTGCTGCACCTGTCACGCAAAATCATCTCAGCAAACCTACTGATCTGATGCTCCAAAATGCAACCCCTCTCAGGAAATCAGCGCCTCACCTCCTAACAGCTCTGATGAACATGTCTCTTGTACTGCGGCTGCCACGGAAAATGCATCTTTGCAGACCCTCGTCAAATGTCCCACGCCTGCCATCGGTTTTGGACGTGCCACAAAACCCTCACGGTTTGCTCACTTTTGACAAGGTGCACAATCCCTTGCGCCTGCCACGCGAAACGATATCTGAAGGTCAAAGTGGTCCGAACATGTGGCGTTTTTAACTTAAAACAATTGACTTCGAAATGTGCTTCGCGCCACAACGGCATGCACATGCATGCACTTTATCGACATTACAACTTCCGAAAGTGGTCCGAACAATTCCGAACATGGAGTGTTTTGTGCATTTTGACTTCGACATGTACTTCGCGCCACAACGGCGTGCACTTTTTTCGACATCTCAGTTTCCAAAAGTGGTCCGAGTATGGCGTCTTTTGCACATTTTGACGTGGAAATGTGCTTCGTGCCACAACGGCGTGCACTTTTTTCGACATCGCAACTTCCAAAAGTGGTCCGGACCTGGTTTGTTTTGTGCATTTTGACTTCGAAATGTGTTTTGCGCCACAACGACGTGACTTTTTCGACATCGCAACTTCCAAAAGTGGTCCGAACCTGGTGTGTTTTGCGCATTTTGACTTCGAAATGTGCTTCGTGCCACAACGGCGTGCAATTTTTCATCTCTCATCTGGCCAGCTGGCTCCGCACCCGCCGCTGTAGCGAGCCTATTTTTCGACCTTCGGAACCACAAATCATTGGAAAAAACACAGTGTTTCGCAACTTTCCCATCTCTGCTTTTCATCTGTCCATATTGTCGGAAGTTTGACTTATAAACTTCCTTCGACAAGTTATACGGTCTTCCAATACATTCTTCTCCAATAGAAGTGTCCAACACATGCTTTGCCAAGAGAAGTGTCCAATACATTCTTCTCCAATACAGGTTCCAATGGCAAGCTTACTTAAAGCCCCCAACACATTTGGCATTCGCCAAAACAATGCTAACCAGAAGTTTTGCTTTTTTCCCCAAGGACCAGTTTCTAAAAAGGTCAAAGCAATACACTCCCCACAGAAGGGTGCCAAACAAAATCCTTTTCCTCAGCAGCCTTGTTTGTCACTGTACAAAGAGCTGCTGGCCGTGAACATCTTTGACGCCCATGGCCGGCAACCCTTTGTTATTGCAAAGATGATGCAAGCAACATTTTTGTACATGTCTTTCAGAGGATGAGGCATGCCCTGCATCCTCTGATGCTAGCTGAAAGTGCCTGTGGCTAGCCCAAGCATATGGATGCAACTGGGTCGCCCATGTCTGCATCTGTGCCAACAATGGGCTCTTCTCTAAACCTAGGCACAAGTGTAGGCCTGAAACAAGGTTTCAAGCGACAGCCTAGTTTGGCAGGCTTCAAAGAAAGAAGCCTGGGCCCAACCCATCCCACCCTCCTACCTCCCCAATGGGGCTGGCTATGTCTTTTATTCGAAAGTCATCAAATTAAACACATAGTCAGCCCCTTCAATCAAACCACTGAAGAATTTGTCTTTCACACAAATTGCACACTGGTGCGCCAAAAAGTTTCTCTTGAAGAAAGCAGCACATATAGCTCTTGAAGAAAGCAATGCATAGTGCTTGCTGCCAAAGTCAAGCTTAACATCTCTTTTGCAACATGCCCATGAAACAGAAAGATTGTGGTGGTCAACATTAAACATGTCCACCACCACAAACCTTCTGTATGGCAAGGGGCAAGAGCATTGGGCAGTACTTTAGTTGTTGCCTTCAAGACCTTTTCATTGCCCAAGGCTGGAAAAGAGAGCTGTTGGTGGTGGACATCTTTGATGTATACCACCACCAGCCCTCTGTTCTGCAAGAGCTTTGAGCCAAAGCAACAAACAGGCCAGTTGATCCAACCACATCCCCACAAGAGCAGCAACTGTCCACCAATGAAAAAACATTGGCCAGCATCTTTGAAAAGCACTCAAGCTGTCACCAATAATCACCAACATTCTCCAATAAAGACAACAAGTGTTGAAACTGATGAACAGCAGTTTGACAGCGGTTTCCTCCAAACTGCTGGAGAATAGGTTATCCTATTTGCTAGGAATTAGACAATAGGTTAGGCAATAGGTTATCCTATTTCCCAGAGGTTAAGTTATGCACATCCTATTTGCATCCTGACTATTAAATAGAAAACAGACTACAGATAACCTACCAGTAGTACCGCACAAGGCGGTGGCGGAAGTTTCAAAAATAGGAAACCTATAGGAGAGGTTGGTTGTTGTGAATCAGGGATGGCAGTGCTTGAGGTCTCCTCTCTTTCTCTCTCTTTCTCTGACTATCTACCCACCTACCAACCTATCTATCTATCTATCTATCTATTTGTCTGTCTGTCTGTCTGTCTGTCTATCTGCCGACCTGTCTATCTGTGGTGCAGTGTCATTCAGTGTAATGTAGTGTAGTGTAATGTAGTGTAGTGTAGTTGCGTGTAGTGGAATGTAGTGTAGTGTAGTGTAATGTAATGTGGTGTAGTGTAATTTAGTGTAGTGGAGTGTAGTTGTGTATTCATAGTTGTAGTTGTAGTGTAGTGGAGTGTAGTGTAGTGTAATGTAGTGAAGTGTAGTGGAAGGTAGTGTAGTGTAGTGTAGTGTAATTTAGTGTAGTGTAGTGGAGTGTAGTGTAGTGAAATGTAGTGTAGTGTAGTGTAGTGTAATTTAGCGTAGTGGAGTGTATTGTAGTGGAGTGTAGTTGTGTAGTCGTAGTTGTAGTGTAGTGGAGGGTAGTGTAGTGTAACCTAGTGAAGTGTAGTGGAAGGTAGTGGAGTGTAGTGTAATGTAGTGTGGTGTAGTGGAGTGTAGTGTAGTGTCATGTAGTGTAGTGAAGCGAAGCGACATCTGAACCTCCAAAAGTGGTCCGAAACCCTGGTGTTTTTAACTTCGAAATGTGCTTCGCGCCACAACGACGTGCACTTTTTCAACCTCCGAACCTCCAAAAGTGGCGCGAACATGTGGTGTTTTGTACATTTTGACTTGGAAATGTGCTTCGCGCCACAACGGCGTGCATTTTTTCGACATCTCAACTTCCAAACATTTTTACTTCGGAATGTGCTCGCGCCAAACGGCGTGCATTTTCGACATTGCACTTCCAAAAGTGTCCGACCATGGTTTGTTTTGTGCATTTTGACTTGGAAATGTGCTTCGCGCCACAATGGCGTGCACTTTTGCATCTCTCATCTGGCCAGCTGGCTCCGCACCCGCCGCTTTAGCGAGCCTACTTTTCGACCCTCCGGAGCCTCAAATCATTGGAAAAACACAGTGTTTCGCGACTTTCCTACCTTTTCGCGCATCTGCATCTTCTTTCTTCTGATCTTTCTCTTCTCTCTGCCTTCTGCTTTTCATCTGTCCATATTGTCGGAAGTTTAACTTCTAAACGTCCTTCGATAAGATATTTTGCTCTTAATAGCCCAACCTGATCGATAGGGTTCGCTACCGTGGAGGCACACCCCAACGTAACCCGCAGCAGGACGAAATTCAGGGTCCAATTGGCAACAGCAGAGCGACGGTCCTCATCCAAGATGTCGTCGATCGATTGATGTAGAAGCTCATGAAGTCGTGAGCGTGTGATGGCCTCAGTTCCAGCGGCAGATGAAACAAGTTGTGCGAACTGGGGTAAAATCTTGTCAAACTGGCCAGGACTGAGAATCTGGGATTCCTCATCAAAAATGCTTTCGATGACAGGCACCACCTGAACAGTCTCAACCTTCTTGGCTATGGCTGTACGTTCCTTGAACACTTGCATGGGGGCCTCATCAATGTAAGTACAACATTGCTTGCAGTACACACGATGCGTGGTCCTACTGGATCCCCGATAGTCCGACAGTCAACATCCTTGTGTGAGCACTCATCAGCTGGATATGTAGGCTCTTCCTGTCTCTTCTCAGGCGTAGAATGTCCACAATCCAAGCAAGTCCTACGAATTGTGTAACCAGTTGATCCCTGCTGTGTGAGTCTTTGCAAACTTGACACTTTGTAGGCTTTGGAGGGTTTGGTGGTTTCCCCCTGCCCGAATCCCGGGTCACGCGTGAGTCAAGTGCATAGTATGGAGTTGTTCGCATGAAAACACCAACCTCATTGACATCAAAGTATCTGTCAACCCATTGTATCCATTCCCAGTAGCATGGACTCTTTGGGTCATTCTTCTTTGCCCATTTGTGGAAGTTGGTTTGACCATGGAAAACATCCCAAAATGTCAAGCCCTTGAACTGTCCAACAGCTAAACATAGTCACTCTTCTCGGGCCTCATTGTAACATATTGTAACGTAGGTCCGTGGGCACTGGACGGTGATCTGTACTCGGTGAAGTCGAAGCTGAAGCCTTTGCTGATGGTCGAGGCTGTGAACTCTTCGGCTCAGATCGACGCACTGCATTGCGTGCCACATGCTTGCCTGCTGGAGAAGCTACAAGATGAAGTCCATCATCATCTGGCCTGTCGCTTATGTTGGCAAGGTTAGCAGTCGGTTTCACCGTACTGCCCTTCTGAGCATCTGGGCCTCTCGATCCAGGAGACTTGCGCGCTGGATCTCCAGCCCAATGACCAATTGCACCACAACGCATGCACTTTGATCGCTTCTTCAAGTCAGCCAGCTTTGCACGACGTTGCTCAATCGTAAGATGAGAGCGAACCAACTTGCCCTTGCCAGGTTTGCCTTTGTGGCCAAACTTGCCCTTGCCCTTGGCTTTGCCAAAAGCTGCATGGGCTGCCAGTTGCAGTTGAATCGCATCACCAGCTTGCTCCTCATCTACATCTTCGACATCCAACAAACAGTTCAATGCCATTGCTTCGTACTCATCAATGAACATCATCGAAGTAGTCACAGTCATCCTCACCAGTTGCTTGAAGTTCATCTTCATTTCCACCAAGAAGACCAATGTAAGATTCATCCCCATTCCAAGCTTGTCCACCATGCCAAAGTTCATCCCAATGTTGCTCATCAACGTCCTCCCCATCGGTGTAGGCGGTGTAAGCTCAACGTGGATACGAACCCTTTCCAGAAGAAGATATGTACTTCCCCTTTCCGTGGCCTTTTCCAATCGACCTTCCAGGCAACGTAGATGTAGGTGCACGTCCTGTCCAGGATCGTGATCCTTCACAAAGATGTATCTGTCCATATTGTTCGACAAGTACCTTGGCGACACCTTCAAAGTCCTTGGAAGTAGCACATGCTCGGGCTACCAGTCCTTCTTGTCGTGACAAGCCAGGCAATTCAAGCATCAGTTCCATCCTAAGTGAGTCGGACAACTGCATCGAAGGGTCTAGCTCTATCAGAGTCTTCCACCATCTTCTACGCCGCTGTGTGTAGCTAAACATAGGTTCCAATGACTGTCTTGCCAATGGTCCACCAATCCTCTGACCAGCTCGAAACAACTCTTTTGCTTCTTCCTGCGCTCTGGGAAAAACATGAGCCTTGATCTGAGTGATCAAATGCTCCAATCCACCAGGTGCAGTCAGCTGATCAAGTCCAACATTACGAGCAATCGCAAAAGCATCACCACGTAGTCCCTCAACGATCTGGTTGACAAGAGGTCCACGGTCAACAGGCTTTGTCGAAGTCGATCTCGCTCGCCGGCTTTACCGGGCCGAGGGAGGTTTCGAAGTGTTGTGTCCTGACAGGTCTGGAAACGTAGGCATGTCCTCAGTCTCCTCATCCTCCTCTGCAG